TGCAGCCAAGCAGATTTTAAATGTTTAATGCAGAAATAAAACACTAAGAATCTTGTTCAAATAATTAAGTAATGTTTTCCACACTTTTTCACTAAATAAACTCTAAGACGGAATTTTTTTTTTTTTTTTTTTTTTAAATGCACCAATTAAATTATGCACAGAAATACACTAGCAGTCAGTTTTAAATTAAGATTTTTTTAAATATTTTAAATAAAGTCTCTTGTCCTCACCAATCTGTATTTATTTGTTCAAAAATACAATAAAAACAGTAATATTTTAATTAATTAATTTAATTGGAATCTATTCCTAAAGCAAAGCTGAATTTTCAGCATCATTACTCCAGTATTCAGTGTCACATGATCCTACAGAAATCATTTTAATCTGCTGATTTGCTGCTTAATTATTATCAATTATTGGTGCTCAAATATTAATATTGCTTCTTCTTATCATTAATGTTGAAAACAGTTGTTTTAAACCATGATACTGTTTTCTGTCCAAGATTCTTTGATAAAAAGAAAGCTTATTGAACAGCATTTATTTACATCAGCGTTTCCACAATAATATTAAGCAGCACAACTGTTTTCAACATTGATAATAATTAGAAATGTTTCTTGAACACCAAATCATAAAAAATAAACAAACAATCTAAACAGCCTTCAACACTTTTAATAAAAATTGTAGTTTTTAAATGGGTCTGTAGTTAAAATAAGATGGATCAAAATGTGCTTTTTTAAGCAACGGATGAACCACAGCATGTTTAAAACAAGAAAAGAACTGTTAATAACAAAGAGAATATTGGATGTCCTCCTAATCCAACACAGAATCCAACACGTCCTTGACCAAAGCAGTTGGAAAAGCATCAAGACGTGTTCAACCTTAAGTTGTAGATAATATCCAACAACTCAGAGTATGGAGTAGGATAACAATTTTGAAGGTTAGGGTTAGACTCATATGTAAGTCCCAGAGTTTCTGAGATAGATATGCTAAAGTCTAAGATTTAATACATCCGATTATGTTTCTCACAACTTGACTGTGATCAAGACCGACCACAGTATAGAGTTGACAGTGGAGAACAGAATATTTGGACGGTTTTGAGAAATCAAGTTTTTAAAGTATTTGGACCTTTGCAGAGCACTCCTCTTGAATTTTGGACAAATAATTTTGCAATAGTTGGTAAAAATTAGCAATTTATCTTTTTTCCAATTTTCTTTCTGCCCTTCTACACTCCTTTCTTAGAGCATGTTTCCTGGATTTTAGTTTCTAAATGAATCCGTAAATGAATGAGCAGCAAACATGTCTTCACACTCATAATCGCAAGTTATATGACAAATAAGGATGACGAAACTAGTCTAATGACATGGTCTTTATGAAAAAAAGGCTAAATAATAAAATCATAAAAATAATTAATTAAACCGCTTAATTCTTATAATTAACAGAAACACTATTGCAAATATATTGTAGATATACCACACAGTCCAGGTCCTAACCAGGACATTTTGCTGGTCGCTTGGTTTCTCTTTCTGTGGTGTTGATGGTGTGTGGTAGTCCGTCCACTGTGAAATATCACTGCTTCAAAATTCAGCTCCAAATAATTGTATATTAAACATTAACTAGGCTGTGCTCGTTGTGTCGAGCAGCAGGTTAGACAGACAAATTACTTGTCGCTGGAAACTTGTCACTCCTATTTAGGAAACGTGCACGACAAATATTACTGCAGAGTAAAAAGCTTTTTGATTTTGGTTTTAAACCTGTTTAAATTAATGCTTTGCAAATGGGATGGTCTTATAGCTTGACGAAACCTTGTCTAGACATGCAAAGAAAACCTAGATAATTGTTAAATTTGGTGAAACCAGCAATTTTATGCAACATCAAATAAGGTCATGAGAAACTTGCAGCACTTATAAAAACAAAGACAATTCTGTTTTTCCAATGTCACAGAAAGAAAACCAAATGTTTAAGTTGGCAAAACGTAAAAACATGTACTTGATCAGCAGATGTTTTCCAATGCATTACATTGACGTGTACTTTGTGGATGTGTGCATGTGACGAACAAGTGCTAACGCAAGCATGTACCAACAGTTTATTAATGTACTGTCAGAAATGCATACTAGCACATACATTTACATTAAAAAGTCATTCATACACACACTACTCACTCAACCATACATTTCTCCTTACAATGACAAGCGTTCAAATAAGATGGGATAAGATCACATTTATTTCCTCAGTGCAGATATACCAGAATATAAATATATTATTGACAATTATTTTCTAAAACATGACATCATTACAAAATGTGTGGTACACTACACCAGTACCTCAGCTACAGCCCTACACACACCAGACAAATTGTTGAAATGCTGAAGAAAATACAGAGAAGCGGATTTCAGCAACTTCAGTTCAAAATGTTGTTAAATCACAAAAACTTTGCAGTGCTTTCAAATCCTCTTAGGCAAAGTGCTCACTCATGATAAGAAATGAAATAGAATTTGGAATGCTTCAAGGTGAAAGGCGAAAAACAATTCTCTCCAGTTAATCAAATAAAAATCGGACCCGCTTAGGAGGGCAAGATCATGAGCAATTCATTAAGGAGCCTGGCTCAGCAGTTTAACGGATTGTTAAAACATACATGAATAAACTCAATAAAGATGCCTAGCACAATCAAGATGAGGTAAAGGAGGGGAGTGTGTGTGTGTGTGTGTGTGTGTGTTCCTCAGGGAGAGAACACACACTGTTCCAGCTCAGCCCTCCATTTTCTGCGATGGCAGGGGCCGGTTGGGTCCTGCGTCCTAATATGGCACAGCGGAGAGCAAGTCATATTGGGAGATTTTCTCCCTTGAGAGCACTAGCCCTTGACTTTGATTTCAAGAACAGAGCAGTTTTCCCACAGGAAAGGAAAAAAAGAATACTTTGGCATCATAAGGAGAACAAAAAACAAACAAGCAAACAAAAAAAGCTCTCTGGCATCAAAATGTCCCAAAAGTTCAAATCCTTTCTCAAACTTTTACCCATGACTGAAGTACCATCACCTACAAAGCAAAACATGCAATGCTGACACCTGATTGGGTAGCATTAGAGCCTCAAAATCCATTCTATTTCAAAACGTACATTTCCATGTAGTACATAAAACCAATATACAATCCCACTTTCAATATCCCTCAGTCACTAAGAGGTATGTAGAAAGAACAACCTTAGAAGACAATATCTACAGCATCTGAAAATGAACAGATACGCATGCTTCAAAATCTGGATTTTCTCAGTAATTTATGCAGAAAACCCAACTACAATTTTGATTTCATTTATATAGAAACCAATGAGAAAGACATCAGAATCAGTCGAATGAGAGCAACAAATTGATGGTTTCTGAAAATTCAACCAATCCAAAAGGTTTATAAACAAGCAAATGTTGTGCTTCTCAAGCAAGGCCGTTTCATTTAATTTGATTCCTTTAGTTGAATACATGGACTGTTTCTTAAGACAAGAGAGAGGATGCAGTCCTGGGTGAGTCCAGAGGTCCAGGGTCATTCAAAAGTCCTAAAAGCAATCAAGACGAATGCTAAAAACAAGTCCCTGGAATAGACACTAACCTTTGTTCTGTTTAAAGCGCATACACATCCATCCATGCACGTGTGCGCACACACACACGGTCATGTGCGATCAATAAAGCAATGGATGGGTAAATGGCTAAACTGCTCTGGTTCAAAAACAGCACATAGCCAGAGGACACAAGATCAAGATCTACTTTTGAACAAACAAGCTAGAAAAAAATGAAAAGCCCTTTTTCTTTAATGTGTGATATGTTCTCTATCACTCTCTAGTGAGTAGAAGTATTGCACAGCACCCTGCCATGACATGGCAGTTCAGACTTTACATGTCACCTATCAAAAGCTTGATTAAACACTTGTTTGAAGCCATAAGACACTTCCTCACGTCACAGTATTACAGTTATGAAAACTTCAACCTTTAGGCAATTCAGTCATTAACTGAAGTGACGCGGCATAACAACTAGATCCATTTCTTAACCCAATATATAACAGTCAAACTACTGGTTTTGGTGATAAAATTTGAGCATTTTTCCCCCATGGTCCCATACAAAATGTATTTGGGAATATGCCACAGTATATAACCCTCTCCTCCAAAGGAAAACAATTCTCTTAAAACAATTTAAGAGAAGGTAAAGTTCATAAATACTATTAGATTAAATACAAAGAGGAATGCAGATGGTATTTGATATCATAAACGCCTTACATACTACAAATCATCAATCCATTCAACGAGTATTTTCAATCTTATTACATTTTGTGGTTCCTGTAAATATATATATATATTAAAAACAAAAATTCCATCAGAGAACATCAATAAATATTGTTACTTTGGTAAGCTATAAGGACAAAGCTATTCGCTTAAGAAGGAATTTTTAACAGTACCATCCAAATGAGTGAATTTATAATCATAGTCACAGCATGAAAACAAATTACAAAGGGCTTGATTTTCAATGCCCTCTATTTTCTTGGCACCTCCACATATGAATTATGTACAGGATCTGTGTATTAGGCTTCTCAAGAGTGTCATAAAGATAAATAGTACAGCGCTGTAAGATGCAGTTTAATGTTGTTAGGCTTTTTTTGTGTGTGTGTTTGTGTGTGTGTGTGTGTGTGTGTGTGTGTGCACATGCAGGACTCTCCAGAAGCATTTGCCATTAAAACTTTGACCTCTGCATCCAGATATCACTGTTTTAGTAGATTTTCTTCTGACCTCCATTTTATCCAAGTGTCCTAAAACACCTTGAGCTGAACACAACAAGCGTTTTTGGTTCTTGTCCACATCAGCAAGCTTCACCACTGCGGCGTTGTTCATCTTAAGGTCCCAAATGCAGAATTAAGCAGCTATCATCTATAACGGCCATGTGATTCTGTGTTGTGCTTAACTGCATTATGCAATATTTTAAGTGCGATAGTTCCGTTTGGACACATTGTAACCCGTGGAAGCAAACCAAGCATGGCAAGAGAGGATTGAAACCGCAGGGTAGAGGGAAAGAAAGTCCAAGAGTCATTCTGTCCAGGAGACATTCAAATTAAACTGAAATCCAATTTGAATCAGATAAAATACTCCAAGTAGTTAAATAGACCTTTCAGAATGATTTGCGGGATGGTTAGCCTATAGAATTGGAGTTGATGCTGGGGTGATAATGTTTGTTTCAGCAAGGAAGTTCATCTCCATTGCGATCTAGGGTTAGAAAGGAATCAGGTACAATGTGCCGTCTGTTTGCTGTTGTATTAGTGCGTAAAGGATGATGTCCTCTGACTGGAGGCGTGGTTATGTAATCCCTTCATGGCTTTAAATAAGCAGAAAATAGGAAGACCATGTAATCGTGGCATTGCTTAGGGGCTAGAGTAGAATTCTGCTCTTTGGGAAAAGGGCTTTAGAAAAATTCCAATTGTGATTGCTGAAGGTCAAGACTCATCACTGATTCATAGACAAGAAACACTGGAGATCTAGCAAACGCATTCCTCCACTGAGAGCAGGGTAGTGATCAGATTATCCTTGGAAATTACGAGGCAAGAATTGAATATTACTAGTAAAAACATAACTAAGATTATGAGTCCGAAACCAGGTCAGCCCTTGGGCTCTTAATCTTTGCAGAGTCTCTGTCAGAGACTGTCAGAAGATCATTTGAACATTTAGTCTATAATTCTTTAGATTTTACATCAGTCTAGCAGATCTTTCTTTTCTCCCTACATTTAAACAGACGTGAGCAAGTTAACTGGAGAAACAGAGACTATTGGTTACTCGCTGTGCTGACAACATGAGCAGAACTAAAAGTCCACAAAGGCAGGTAAATTCACCACAAAGTCTAAAAGACCAGCTAGCTGAAAGACATGAGCTTGTCTTCTTTTAATAAGACATTTGCTGAGTGAAACTCAGTCTTCGCATTATTGTCATAAATAAAAAGTGTTTTTGCATACAGACAATATTTAATGCAATCTAAATACTTCATAATTACAATTCTGTCTCACAGAATTAGATTTATCTCCTTTCCTCATTGCTTAATTTATCGTTGTAGCAAAAACTGCTGAGAATGGTATATCTCAAAACACCAATGAGAATAGCTCACTCTCACATAGTTGTCCACTTCATCTCTAATGACCACGGTCAAAGGTACATTTCTTCCTACTGGGTAATCCTGCAGCTATACATAAAGGCAAACGGACCGTTGTCATCCAGCCTCATTCAGAACACCGGGACCGAACTAGGATAGTGCACAGATGCCGAAACCAAGCTTCAGGATCCACTTAATTGTCAAGGCCCTTGCCATCAACATAAAGCTCACTATCTTGCCAAACGATGGCGTTACACATGGCACACAGGGCGCGGAGGCACTGGTGGATCTCCTAGGGGCTTCTTGGTGTCGGTGCGTTGCAGACAAAGCAGGCAGAGGCGCTTGAGGCCTTTACGGAAGCCGCTGTTAGACAGGCTGTAAATGAGACAGTTGCAAAAACTATTGCTAATGGCCAGCCATGTGGTCAGGAATGAGGCAATGGCATGGTGGTATATCCCTGCGCTCTCCAGTAAAAAGTAAATGATGTAGGGAAGCCAGAGCAGGTAGAACACACTGGTGATACGGAAGAGTACGGTGGCGTAGCGTTTGTCCGTGCAAGCTTGCTCACCTGGCTCAGGATCCTGTGGGCCAAAGCGAGCTCTTCGCTGACTGATCTGCCGAGTGTGTTGCCGACAGATCCGAAAGATATGGGCATAAGTGAAACAAACTGTTAAGGCAGCTGGTGCATAGAGGGCTGCAACTATAAAGGCGGTAAAAAGGGGCTGGGTGTCCCAGGAGGAGCAAGATTTAAATACATCACCATGGTATCCCGGCTTTCCCCAACCAAAAAAAGAGGGCAAAAAGATGAGCGCTGAGTACAGCCAAATAAGGGTAATGCAAGTGCGAAGACGGCAGGGTGTGACCAGAGCTGTGTAGGAAAGAGGTCGGGTGATGGCAACGTAACGGTCAACACTAACGCATGCCAGAGAGGCCATGGAGACACTTTTCAACACACAGACCATGTAGCTGAAGACCATGCAGGTGAGTTTCTCGTTCAAACCCTCCAGATGTTGCAGAAGAGACAAAGAGGGGATAAGACAGCTGACCCCAACCAGGAAGTCTGCGTATGCCATAGTCTGTATAAAGGAGCTAGTGGTATGGTGGCTGAGTAGCGGGGCACAGTGGAAAACAAATATAACCACCAGGTTCCCAGAGATGATGAGCACTGTCAAGAAGAAAATAACAGCTACTTCCAGCAGGCAGGTGTTAAAGTTCTGAGAGTAGCCAATGTCCAGCAGGCAGAAGGGTTCTGTGCTATAGTTCAACTCAGTGGTGTTCATCTTGTTCAGGGTGCGCTTGGGCACACAATTAGGGTGCTAGTTCCTTGGGGGCCTAGCTTAGCAAAGGCTGCCTACAGTACGGCTGCCCCTGATAGACATGGGGGAGGTGTCCGTGCCAGGTGCCTTTCATATCAGCAGCAACATGAGTCGCTAGTCCTCAGCGTCCACACCAATCCTTTCACCAACACACACACACAGTGACGGTATCCTGGGGAGAGTCACTTACTGATTAAAAAAAAACTGAATCATACAGTTTTCTATTGTGGGTGCAGGTGGTCAGTCTGGCTTAAATTCTGGATGAAACCCCACCAGCAGTGCAGGACAAATAAACCCTCTTCTTTTTTCAGTCCCCCACCAGTCCCCCAGAAGCACAGCTGTGCCTGAGCAGGGCAGGCAGCTGCCGGCACAGGACCTGCACAAGGAAAAAAGCAGAGGAAGCGGACTCCTTGCCACTCTGATCACAGAAGTCCCAGTCGCTCTCAAACTGTCCTTAGTCCGGAGGATCGCGCACAGCGAAAGAACACTGAAGATTCCTCACAAGAACGTAGTCCAATTGTTTATTCCTACAAATCCCAAAAAAGAAGTGGTGTATTTGCAGAAACTTCAGTTGTCAGTCGTCAATCGAATGAAGAGTGGGGAATCTCTTTAGCACGTGCCAGGCTCCCAGCTCCCTCACATCAATGAGGAGGAAGTACGTGTGATCCAGGATGAAGAAACAGCAAGTGGTGATTGGCATTTCAAACGGAGAAGGGGCTCTCCGGAGAGGAGCCAGCGTCTGGAATGTAAATGAAAGATAGAGTGGTGTGATGCAGAGAGCAGTCTCTCTCTCTTTTCTGTGGCACTGATGCATTCCGCTCTTTCCTTCCCTCCTTCCCTCCGCTGCAGCAGGAGCACTCAAACTCCTCCCACCCTTGGCTCTAGCCAGTGAGCAGATGTCGAAGCATGAGCAGAGAGAGGCATCCCCTTCCCTTGTCAATCCATACACTCCTTCGCCCCACTCGTATCCACCATTCAATCTCTTACAAATAATATTTTAAAAAAGCTTTCCCTTCAGATTTTTTTTAGACTCCCTACAACACTCTTTCTAGTGTAAAACGTACTTGCTCTGTCCTACCTTTTTCTTCTATTCCAATCACAATTCCAATGTAACACGCCTCCCACACACTCTCTCTTTCTCCCGCCTATGCGGACTCATGCAAAAAAGCAGCAGAAGGTCAGAATATGTACATTTACAAAGACAAATACATTTCTTATTAGATCAACTGAAACTTTTCAAGTCATCTTACATGAAATTATACCTATTTTATGCAGTGTTGTGGCTCCCATTTACGTAACATTTCAGTGTTCTTCGATACACATTACGAAGCATCCTACATGCTAATTTAACCCTAAATTGGGTTCAAAGATGGTGACATAAGAGATTGGCATGTAGCCAACATCAATGCATGTGAGCAGTCGAAATACTATGGTTATCGTGATATGATTTCTGCCAGTCTGGTTTTAGTAAAAGTCGGCCACACAGATTCACTGAACTCTAGGTGTTTCCCTAACACAAATGTACCCGTTTCCATTTATATCATATTTATCAGTTTCTATTCCCTGTCTTAGTGGTAATATTAAAACCATAGCACCCTGTCAGTCTCCTTTCACTCTGTCACTGCCAGAATCAGTGAACACACACAGTCCCCACTTTCACGCATCCCCTCAGTCAGGCACACGAGAGGCTAAAAATAGGCCCAACTTGAAAGGTGGGGAGCAGAGAACACTGTGCTCATCCATTAGGAAGAGAACAATGAGGAGGAAAGGAAGAGATAAAGAGGAATGGAAGGGCTGAATGCATGAGGCATATTTAATTTGACAAAAATGAAGCTGTAAAAGTCAGACTTACAGTTTCTTTAAATGACATGTCGATCATTGTGGTGGACCACTGAAACGGTCTTCCCACAAATTCTCAGCAGACCGCCAACTCCAAACCATATGGGTTAGGATGCAATTTAGCATATTGTTTAATTATTTTTTAACATATTGTCCACAATTGTTACTTTTTTACTTTTAATTTCTGGTCCTATTTGAAATAATTCAATCATGTAGATTAGAAAAAAATAAAAAATAAAAATATAATATATATATATAATAACATTCCACTTGCTCTTACTCTACAATGACTCTCATTAACAGCTGATGTTGCAACCAATTATCACAACGGATAAAATCCTGTCCTACATGTCTTTCTAGTCCAAAATACTTCTTCACTTCACTTACATTCAAACACGATACATCACTGCAGAGGTAAAACGGGTTACAGTTTTGTTTTAACATTAAGACAGAACAAGTATGCACTATACTCCTATCCCTCACATCCTTGTTTTCGTACGTGTCAAATGAAACGGGTCATCTGATCTGACTAAGGTCATCTGCTATAGGAGAAGATAAGAGAAAAGGCTGTGCCCATAGTGATGGAAAAGTGTTAGCCAAGTCCAGCCTGACTCAGCTGCTCGGTGAAAACACAGCGAACACAAACAGCACATTCTCATTCCTTCATAGAGTGAGACAGCAGGTTTGGTTTATATCAGTAGTCCGCTAAACTCTCAGCCCCACAGACCTGGAGTTCACTGCTGTAGCAGAGACCTTCTGTATAGACCACCCACAGTCTTCCTCCATAAACCCTTCACAAACCCCTGGGTCTAGGCCATTCAGAGTGACATTAACCCCACAGAGCAGAGACACTCTTTTTGTACAGACATGTATGCATGTATTAAAGGTCTCCTATTGAACGCAGTCAAGCTCAAGACTATCTGTTCCCTATTTTGTTAAGTCACGCCTGGCGCTGAGACGGATTTGTATTGTGGCGTGTTTAGAATTCCGGTACTTGAAGTGCGAAGAGGTGCCGCAGACTAACAGACCAGGCTTTGTGTGAGCCGTTTGTTTTTATTCACCGCATGGGGTGGTGTGTGAGGAGCGTCTAGAGAAATCGGTGTGTATGTCTGACCTCTGTGTCTGTGTTTATGGACAAGGGAACATCTGGTAATAGTATGAGCCGAAGAAATGCAGACCATCAAACATGTTCGGTGCGTAGAAGGGTTCAGAGTGAAAGAAGGCCACAAAAAAAGATGCTTGTTACCATGTCGATTGCAGACGAACTAATAAAATATACTTATCCCATTAACAAAAATAGAAGCCATATGGATGGGGACAGACTTTAATGGGCTCCATGCCAACTTCTGATTGCATTTGTGACATCACCACTGAAAGCATCACGTAGCACCAGAGCATATTTGGATCAATTTAAAGCTGGACCACAGTCTTACACTGGTCTTCTAGCTGGAGAACATTAGATTACCCTGTTCAGGATGAAAATCAAACGTCACCACGTTTGCTCATTCTTCAGGAGTTTTGGTTAAAATTTCTAACCTAACCCTAAAGTATTAAATGAATAGTAAAATATTTAAGTTCTGTCATCAATTACTCAACCTAATGCCATTCCAAACCTGTTCTGTTTTTTAGTGGGACGAAAAAGAAAGAGTGTTTCAATAGTTTCTGTCCATATAATGAGCACCAGTGAACAACTTTGGAATAGAGTTGTCAAAAATATCGATATTTCGATTATGTATCGATAATGACATATATGAAACGGTTTCAATACTCCTTTTCTGCAGTCTCACTCACTCGTCCTATCCACTCCGGTTGAATAGTGTTGGTGAGTTGAATAGCACTTATATCGGTATTTTTCAAGGTATCGTATTGAAGTTGGAAATTCCAGTATCGTGACAACACTACTTTGGACCCCACTGACTTTTAATGTATGCACATATATCAAGGCTGCACGATATAACGTATTAGCGTCGATATAACGATGTGTGCATCTGCAATAATCACATCGCAGGATGTGCGATGTCAAGTTAAGGATTGTAGTTGATCCCTGATCCGTGCGTGGCAGCTGCCACCCGGTACGGAACGCATGTGATTGGCGGATTAACTGCAAAGTTTATCATTTGCATGTGTTTAAGTCCTGTCAATTCAAACATCAAGCGCAAGAAGACTGGAACTCGCGTGCTGTTTTCTGTGTGCGCACACAGAGCAGCACAGACCGCACGTGAACACCGAATTCAGGCCTCTTTCTCTTCTTTTGAGCTTGAACGGACAAAGGCACGCAAAATTGCCCGTCTCGACGAGTAATCTTGTAAACACAGGCGGTTATGTGCTGTAAACAATTGAGAAAGAAAACAGATGCGTACCATTATATTGGATCCGTGCATTTCTTCAGAAATAGAAAATGATTTGTGTAGCTTTATTAAAGATGAATTGTATTAATTAAATATATTTAATTTATACAGTGAATACTATATGCAGTGTTATTTTAGATTTGATTATTCAATGTCTGTTCCTGAACACAAATTTAGCCTACCTGAAAAACAATGCTTATTTCAATTGTATCTTTGCTTTATTTTATTTACTCACACAGACATTTTTCCAAATGTCTAATTTAACCATTTCACACCCAACCAGCTCTCATTTTCACAAACCTCACATTGTAACAGCACTGGTACTGTACCCGTCATGGCGGCCATGACTCCCATGGCAACAAGTGTAAATAAATGAAACGTTGTTGGGGTTAGAAAGAGTGGCAGTACTTGAGTAATACATGGAAAAGGTAAAGGCACTCGGTAAAAACTAAATCAAACTTGTCATCACTCAAGCCCTGGTGTTAAGACATGTCATGTATTTATGACCCAGCCCTGGTGAAAATCAACACTCATCTTACTCCAGCCATTTGGCCCTGATAATTCAGAGGGAGGCCTGTCTCTCAAAACACTGGAAATACTATATTTCTCACTAAAATGTTTATTGGAAGCAGAGACAGACTGTTTCATCAATGTCACTTTGTTGCTTAACTTGCTGTAAGCGTTGAACTATAGAGCAGCCTGCCAGTTCCGTGATAACAACTCAAAATAGAAATGTGGGCCTGTTCAATGCCTCCATTGAATTAAACACAATGGCAAAACTCTGAGAGCATGGCTATTCTTTGTATAACGCTTTTAAGAAATGAATCACCATGGTTCCCAGGCATCAACCACAAACGCACACATACAAAGCAAAGCATAAGGAAGATGGGAAGCATTTGTTGTGTTAAAAAAAAAATCATAATTTGCCTGGTTCAACATCTGTCATTATTGAAAAAAAATAGCGTCAGCTGTAGCTTCTGAATTGGCTATAAGGTAAAAAAATATATATATATCATTAATTACTAATTATACAATGTGAGAGGAACGTGTGGCTTGCGGTTTAGCTTTCACTCAAACCCTATGAGGGACCGTTTTAGTCCTCTTCTATCAGAGTGCAGAGCCCTAGGAGGGCAGACGGTGAAAAGTGCAGGTCTGTGATAACTAGCTGAGTGGAAACAAGACCTCAATATAAAGGCTGTCTGAGCTTAACTCAAAAAAAGCGTAGCGAAGGCTGCAGTCTTTTATAATCTCCTCTCACAATAGAGCAAGTGTAAGGAAATGTAACAATACTAAAAATAATACAGTGCATGTAAAATAGTGTAACTACAATAGCAGTACACAATAAATAATAGAATTTAAATACCGTATATACACTGAACAAAATTATAAACGCGACAAATTTTTTTGCCCCATTTTTCATGAGCTGAACTCAAAGATCAAAGACTTTTTCTATGTACACAAAAGGTTTCTCTCAAATATTGTTCACAAATCTGTCTAAATCTGTGTTAGTGAGGACTAGTCTGGTTTAAACCAGACCATTCTCAGTTGTAACTGAGTTATGGTCTGGCAAAGCGTCATAGACAAATCATTTCCAGAGGGGCGTCACCAACGGACGTCGCGGATAGACC